GTATTTGTGCTGCATTCTTCATATGAGTTATACCATCACCACGGTCAATATTTCAGGGTTGGGGGTGTTGGGATGTGAGCTGCAGCTATGGAATGTATATGCAGTGGTGCACTCTGAGCTCATGTAGTAATGAAAGGAATGACATGATAGTGCTGGCTAGCTCGCTTGTAGCGTGGATTTATGGCTCGTTGGAGGAGCTGCCGTGTCCTGCCGCTCTCCTCCTCCTCGCCGCCATCCTATCCTCAGCTCTCTCCCTTACTGACGATCATAACGCCGACCATTAAGTAAATGCTTCCTTATGCTGTAATCATGTGTAAAAGGCTCACAATTACCATGCTATAAATCCCCAGCACCGGGGCTACTCTTGGAGACATAAATATTCCCCTATAGGCTTCTTATGATCGTGGGAACAGCCCCTAATCATGATGTATGCCCCTGTCTCGTGTTGCTGAAACGTGATCGAAAGCCCTTTCCCTACCCCCTGGCGTCTCAGCGCCCCCCCCTCACAACCACCACCACTCCCCTCCCTGTCCTCTCCCTCCACACCCCCTCCACCCCCCACCCCCTCCACCCCCACCCAGCCCCAGCCCACCCCCTGCTGATTTCTTGGGCCAGGGGCTGATAGAAATTATTGATTAAATCTGTGCAGCTCAGACTCCTCGACCCACAGAGGCTGGTTAACCCCTTCAGCGCCAGAGTGGGGGGAGCTGCAAGAGTCAGATAAAAAAACAACAACAACACAACAAAAACAACAACCCTGTTTGTTTGATGTTGCACAGCTAAGGTCACGCCGGCCTGTTTGCAATTCCTGATATGCAAATGGCATTGGGTTTGACCTTTGAGCCTCGCTAGCAAAACGTGAACTGTACGCAGCGAGCGGTGGACAAGGCTTTGTGGCTTTCATTACTGTGGGGGTGGTGCGGGCACTGGAGCTGACACGTAAACCGCATTGACCTTTCTTATTCATTTAGACCTTTAGTCAAGGGCTTCGGCCATCATCTTTAAAGTTATAGTCTCTGATCCCCCCTCCTTGACTTTAAGTGTCAGAGCAAGGCTGTGTGGTCTTTATCCTGCCTTCTTCTCTGACTAAATCCTGATTGCCTCCTCCACAGCCTGAGGTTGGGCTGGAGATGCATCTCATATACAGTGCAGCAATCCATACAGCACACACACAAGATACTGCAGATAAATCCCAGGGATCACAGCATTTTTACCAAAAGGTTTCTGCAAAAAAGACATATGAAAATACAAAATGGCAGCAACTAAATTCCACAATTACGGTGCGTCAAGCTTTGGAGAGAGCTCTGCAGCCCTCTATAGAAGAGACGTTATGGAAATAACAGTGCTTCTGGCTGACACTAAAGGGCCTTCTATGTATTTAAGCAAGTGCTGCATTAAGGAGGATCATCTTAAAACTTGAGGCGTGAAGCAGAGAGCACTTGAGCTATCTTCAGACTGGGGAGCACAGGGCACCGCGCATTCTAATTCCAGTCTCGATTTGCCGATGCGGCCGAGGTGTGTGTGGGCAAAGCGTGCTGCTCTTTCCCATGGAAATCAATAGAGGCTTGTAATTAAACAAAAGGGGGTTGGCCAGGGGGGGGAAAACACAACAACCCCCTTCGGAAAGTAGGTTATGTAGAAAAGTGCCGAGCTGTCCAAATTGTGGCTTTGCCAAGAACTAAATATGCAATTTCAGAGAGTGTGAGAGCAGAGAGAGAGAGAGAGTAGGAGCATTGTCAAACATTAGTACGCTTCTCTGTGTAGGGACTTTAATTTTTTATGAGTCTGATTGATCGGCTGCTCGGACTTGGCGGTCTGACTCGTTAAAAATAATGTTTGTGTTTGTGACAATGAAGAAACAAGGATGCTGCACATAAAGAAAGAACGATGATTAAATCTGCTCCAAAGAACAAAGGGCTGATTTATCATGATGAAGATTTGCCTTTTCGTGGGGGAGATAATAGGTGTTTTGCGTACAAAGCATTCACACATCACGGGATGGGATTAATCAAACGGCGTTTGGGTCAAATTACAGAGCAAAACCCAAGATAACTAATCTTTAGAAAAGAGGTTCGGTTGTGATTGCGCTAACATTTTGCTGAATGGAGGATGTACACATGTGCTCTCAGAGTTGAACAATCAAAGATCAATAATTGTGAAGGGATTGCAAGAGCGCACAATCATTACCTATGAACCCTATTGTGTTGCTCAGCTTAATCAGTCGAGCTGCCAACAGAAACGAAAGAAGCGGTGATCAAGTGGAGAGGCTCACACACACGTACAGCTCACAGACCCCCGCAGTGAGCCGACCACTTGCAGATACACACTCGTCTATGCTCATCTCATATTACCGCGTTCACTTGGATCTCTTTCTGTGCTGCGTGTATCAGATGGGCCTTAGGTCCCTGTGGAGGGACAACACTGTAACACGGCACTGTACGGCGTGCTGTCACGTCTTGAATCCACATCCCCAAAGAATATTAAATGGCAAGCAGCACACTGTAATGTGCCTTTAAAAAATAATACTAGTAATAATTAAAATTTGCCATGAAATCTGTATAAAAAGCAAGAAATAATTACAATGAAATATTATTATTATGATATTTATTTAACTGCAAAGATGTAGCAAATCATAGCAAAAGAAGAAAGCTGGTGTTCTACATTGGAAAAAACTTTCTTTCTTTTTTTTTTACTTTGTAACTAAATTCTATTAACTTTCAAAACTGTTGTCAAATTTTCCATATGACTGAGTGATTCTGCACTAATGACTACATGCACCTCACTTAAGCAGCAACATCTTCTTCTCCACATGTGAGAAACCTGGAAGGAGCTGCCTCAGAGCTGAACAACATCCGTATTTAGCCCCGCAGTAATTGCCTCAGTGACAACGTTGATAAAAGGTGTCTGGCAAAAGCTCAAGTCTAATTTGCATCAGTTACCTTGCCAACTCAACTTGAGTCAGGCGCTGAGCAGATATAAATCACTGCTGAAATTAATCAATCGCTTCAGAATGGCATATCTGCGCAAATTATTTTGTGGGCTCAAAAGCGATTAAATTGCCAATCGCTGCTCACACTGATCTTCATGGTTCATTTAAGAGGAGGGCAAATGTCTGTGGGTTTTTTTTATTGTAGCTACTGTACAAATCAATAGGAACTGTTTGGGAGCAAAGTAAACAAAGGAACGGCACATATGGCCTGTTCTTGATCAAACTGACCTTAATGTGCTGCTAAGTTCTTATTACCCAGGCTGATGAGACAACAGACACAGCGGTTGTACATTCACAGCAGTGGGAAGGAGGGAAACATCAGTATGATGCTTTTGCTTTTACTCATGTATCAACCTGAGCTGCATACTGATTGCTGGAGAGGAGATTTTTTTTGGAAGACACGGAGAAGGGAGGCGTTTGGGGAAAACAAGGAGAGTGAGCGTGTCTGTTGTTGTGGTTTCTGTTTGAGCCTCTCTGTGTGTGTGTGTGTGTGTGTGTGTGTGTGTGTGTGTGTGTGAACATACATGTGTGTATGTGTGGAAAAAATACAGAGTAAAGCCAGATCTTACCCTCCAGCCTGAGCGAGGCCATTCTTTGAAACTCCGGTTCCTGGAGCCAGCGGGACATCCTTTTAAAGGTCTCACGGCCAGACTTGAGCTTGCCCCAGGGCTTAGGGTTCCTCAGGAGGTCAGACAGTGTGCCCTGTGACCTACACAAAACCCTCTCAGCAAAGATGGCCTGGGGGATGCTGTACCTCTTCAGCTCAGTGATGATCCTTTGGGCCACATCCCTGGTGTTGATCTCCTCTCCAGTGCTGCCTCCACTGCCCTGTGAGCCCAGCAGCATGCCCTCGCTGGGTGAGGATGAAGCAGACGATGAAGAGTGCAGGTGGTCACCCATCTTGGTGGCCTGCTGGCTCGGGTGATGGTGTGGCTGGTAGTGCTGGCTATAGATGTGTGGGTGATGGCCTGGGGCATGCTGGTGAGTCTCCATTTTATTTAGCTGATGCCCCACTGAAACATCACCTCCTCCTAGGCCTGGCGGTGACATCTCTCGGCCAAAATCCGATGTTCGGCAGAAAAGGCTCCCTCCATGTACATCATAACCACCAGGGAGCATCTGACTGCCGTTACCATTAGGGCTGTTGCCCAGACTTCCGTAGCCATGCATGGAGGAACCCAGGCCTGATCCTGTGGATGGAGGCGACAGGCTTTGGGACATGGCCAGTTCCTTGCCATAAGGGTTGTAGAAATTGGTGCTGAGGCCTCGATCCTCACGCATAAGGGTAAAGCTACCAATAACATTGCTGACAGGGAGACAGGGGTGATGGTGATGGTGGTGGTGGAACTTGTCGTCAAAGGGCTGCAGGGGGGTCAGGGTAGTGTATGTGCTGCCAGAGCTGGATGGGGAGTCGCCGCTGTAGCCCAGTGCTGACATGGAGTGATCGAAGCCTGGTGGACGGGGCTCAGGTTCCAGAGACATGGAGGAGCCCCCAAGGGAAGGCCTGGGGAAAGCAGCTGAAAGGTCCCGGGAGTGCAGCATAGCCCTGCCATCCTGGCTGTGAGCCAGATCAGAGTGGCTGTGGAGGGACATCTCCCCTAGACTCCCATCCATCGTTAATTTCAACAAATAAAGTTGTATTTCTTGCCGTGATGTGTGGCTGGTCTCCTCTTGTTATTGTTGTTGGACAACTGGGCCAACAGTCTGTAAGGTCTCTTGTTACACCAGACTATAGATTTATTGATTTGTGAATTAATTGATTTCCGGGCTTATAGGGTGTCTAATTAATTATCTGATAACGTTAAGTACTTCCTCAAACTCCCGGAAAACGAGATTGCAACAACATTAGGAGCTCTAACTGAGATTTTATTCTCGCTTGTGCATCAGCGCTCTGCTTGTCTCTTTGGTGCTCAGCTGGGTTTCTCGGCAAAAGCCTCGCTTTTGTGCCTGCGTGAGACAAGACAGGCGCTGTTATTCGCTTTATTTAAACTTCAGTCGTTACAGAGAAAAAATAAAGCAGCCCAGTGAGAGAAAATAAAATGTAGCCCAAACAACAACAAGAGCAACAAATAATTTAAAAAAATTAATTAAAAAGCACTTTTGTTTTTCTGCCACACACACTCCTCGGAAAGCGCCAGAAAACACAGATATCACTTTTCACTCCAACCTAATATTCTCTTGGAATGTAATATTTTTGCTCTTTTTGAATCTTATGCAAAGTTATGATACAGAAGCAGCCCACAGCGCGCATGCGAAGCGCTGTAAATGACCAGTTCCTTTGCATTTTCGCTCCACATGTAGGACACGTAAACTAACTATCACACATGGTGGCGATTCAGAAAATATATCACCACCACGTATTGGTTTTACAAAAACGTGCAAAATCCTACCTTTATTATCCACTTCTCAGAGCGCGTCCGCGACTCTTGTCCGTCCTGTGCATCTCTCCGACTCTGTCAGCGAGCAGCCTGCAGATTCACACAATTGGTCCGCTGCGCCCCGGGGTGTAACATTCACTAAAACCAGACACCACAAACCATCTGCGGTCACAAACGAGCCTCTCTCGGTCTTTCCGTCCTTGTTTTTCTCCCAGTCTTTGGTTTTCACTCCAAAAAATGTCCCGTTCTAGCCTCGTTTGTTGCTCTACACTAGCAGCTCTCTTCTTGTTCTTTCATTATCTCGTGAGATTTTCCTCCTCCTCCTCCTCTTCCCTCTGCCTGCCACTTCATCGATCTCACCACCAACTCTTTCTCCTTCTCCTCCTCCTCCTCCTCCCCCTTGCTCACATTGACTCTCTGCTTTCAGTGCGTCACGGCCTTAAAAATCTGACAGATGTGCGATGAAATTCCTACTCCAATTAACCCTTTCTCTCCGGGGGGAGGAGGGGAGAGGGTGTGGGTGTGACGAGGCGGGGGAAGCGTTGAGGTGGAGATGCTCTCTTTCTCATAACCCCACAGGTTAAGCCTTCTTCAGCTGATTGCAAGCACAACTTATGAATTATGTGCGCACAGCCTGGTCATTCTGCTGCGCTCGCCTGTTTATCGCGTCTGATCAATTGATTTCACTGGCTGCAGCTAATGTCGTTCTGTCCTTTTTATGTAACAAGTAATGCTGTTGCTCCTTTTGTCAGTATGAAATAATATATCACGAAGACGGAAAGAGACCACGCTAGCTAACACGCGAGCCTTTTGTTTTTGAAATTATTATTAATGCTATTTTCATTTATTAATGTCATGATTTTGTCAAAGGTTGTGCTTCCCTCCCTAATATAATTTCAAGTATATGTGCAGAACAGGAGGCTCTTTTAGTGAATATGTAGTTATATGAGTCACTTCACTAACTGAGGGGAAAAATAGAAATAAATATAAAAAAAAATAGAAATAAATAAATAATATAAACATATCTCATTTAGCAGTGTGTTGTGTATAAAATTCAACCCATGCCACAATTTATTTGTTTTTATTATTTTCTTTATAAACTATTAATAGAAAATGATTTGTGCTTTTGGTCTTAATATCTTGTGTTGGTTTAATGTAAATCCTACCTCTCAGGAAAACAATGGTGTCAAGTGGCGCTCGTGTTTTGCTCAGCTCTTAATCAGCACTCAGCACGCGCCTCCATTCACTCACACTGCCAACACTTCAATCTGGAAAGTCCCTAAAGAAGATCAATGCGACCCTTTTTTCCAGAAGCCCCACGACCTGCTGCTGTCGCAGCACCACGTAGACACATATAATGCAGGCCCGGAATACGGAGAGCGCGTGCGTGTGTAAATTTAGCATCTTACAATACCTGGTTTTCTGTTTGTTTTTTGTTTTGTTTTGTTTTTTGTTTGTTTGTTTTTTCGTTTATTCTCGTTTTGTGTGTGGGAGCGCGCTAATGCGCGCCTGCATACATGGCTCTGTGCACTTATGGTGTGGCTTGTGCAACTTGTGTGTTTACATGAGAGTGCCTGCATGCGCATACAATATGCGCAAATTACATCTGGTCTGTGTGGCGAGACCTGAGCGTGCATGTTTGCGCGCGAATCGGCCTCAGAGAGAAACAGGGAGACAGACAGAAGCAGGGAGGCAGAGCGAATACTAATCATATCTGTCTGTCAGTTTAATTTTCAGAGATGAGCAGTTCTGGCGTTTGGAAACAGCGAAGCGGTGCGCGGTGTGGGACCGCGGGCTTCCTGGAGCAGATGCTGCCCTATCGATCCGCCCCGCGCACAGCAAGCACGAAGGGATGCGTGTATGGATGGCAAGTAGCTGGAGGTAAAAATGGTCAACGGCTACAGAACGAAAATAAAAGGTCCTCTCGGAGGTCGGGGTGAAAGTTCACCTGCTGTGGCTGGAAAACCCGAGAAAGCAGGCCGACACCCGAGCTGCAAAACGCCCCAACTTTTACGCAGCGGGCCTAGAGGGGAAACTGACACACAGCAGGATGTTCAGGGTGTGGGTTTGTCAACACTGGGTTTTGAAGTTAGCCACATACAGTCATAACAATGCTGAAAAAGCCTCATATTTCTGTCTTATGCCTAATGAGTTCTGATGAAAAAAATGCATTTCTATCCACCTGATTTATCTGATTTATTCAAGCTTCAAATCTTTTGATCACAGATAATAAGCGTATTTCCATTTTAGGCATTTAGCTGATGCTCTGAGAGTCACTTTGCTCACAATGAGAGCGGCAGCAGGATCAGCAACACTGCAGCCAAAACATTTACATTTCAGCCATTTAGCTGATGCCCTCAGAAGGACTTGGGAAAAGAAACGGTGGATGCCCAACTTCCCCATTACAATACAGGCAATAAATATACCCAAGGATGCTCTGTTTGAGTATTAACTGCAGCTCTTATCAAAGGAAGGCCTGCTTTATAGATACGGTGGGTGGGGAAAGACTTTTTAATCTAAATCCAATGCTGAGCCTTTTTAGATTGCAACCGTTTAGCTGAAGTTTCATTAAAGACACATATGACTGCAGTCCTCCATCGCCAATAAAACAAACATGCAATAGCAGGAAGGTCAGGGGGTCAAAGGACATTGTCCTGACCTTAAAATGACCATGCATGCAGCAGAAAATAAACAGAATCAGTCAAAGGAACAGAAGCGGCTGATTTTCTGTTGCACTGATTAAGGACGGTGTGAGAGAGAGAGACAGCTTCTCCCGAGCAGATGAATTTCCAGCATCTGGCTTGTCAAGATTCATAAATTCATATTTTATTAGGAAAAAAAATGTCTGCAAATATGGACGTGCTATGAATGCTGGACACGACGGCCTGCAAACATCCACCACACTGATCTGTAGGAGAAAAATACAGCAACGTTTTTGTTTTCATCCTGCAACTTACACTCCCTTCTCAAATCTTCTGGTTAATCACCGAGTAAACGTGATCACTTATGGGTAAATGATAATGGATGAAGCGCACGCGCAGGGTTGCAGTTTTGAATGAGATATTGACGCTCTCTTTGCAGCCGTGAAAAAGAAAAAAAGAAGCACCCAAAATGACGATTTTATGCAGCCTGTTTCAGGGAAAAGGAATTTATTCTGAAGAATTAAACGACAAAAAGCAGCATCCTTCTCATTCTGGTGACTTAAGTCATGAGATTTTGCCTGTTCAGTTGCAAACATAGACATTAATATATATTTCATATATTCATGCATCCTTAAAAATCTCTTGTTGATGATGAGGTGGAAGATTCAAGGTTTCATTCTCATATTAGATCGTTTGTTTTCATCTCATCTACACACCCATGCGTCATTTAATCACGCAAGCGCACATACACACGCGCGCGCGATAATGGCTGGTATATGTGGCATCTACAATCTTGAGTGTTGCGTGGGTGTGTAAACACTTCAGCTCGCAGCACGCATACGCTACACAATGAACACAAAACACAAGTTGATTTTCAAGTTATTTATTGTCATATGTAAGAAAACTTACAGAACAGTTAATATTCCCCATATCTTATTTTGAAAGAAAAATATACAGTGGACAAGTTTTCATCTTTTTTGTGACAAAAAACAACTTCATAAACACGCGTACTGGAAACAAAGTTCATCAGTGATATTACAAAAAAAAGCTTCAGGTGTGAAAAGCTCAGTTTTCATACCTGAAGTTTCCATCAGTAATGTTGGTTTTGTTCATCACATTCACACATATACATTCATCAAGTCTAACTTTCTCACTCATTTCACCGCCCCCCGTTACCTGTCACTTCTATTTTGCTTGACAATGACAATGTGCCATGAAGGGTTTACTATAAACGTCGCACATTTATTTACAACTAGTTTATATATGATCCAAACTAAAACCATGTGAGACAAATATGTGGGAGTGGGGGATTTTCTATGTGATGGAAATCATTAGAAAAGGGCGACCGTGAAAAAACAAATATCACCTGTTCCTCTCTGCAAGACACGCAAATATGGCTTTCACAAGACGATTAAAAAAATCACAACTACAGTTGTTAATAAAGTAATAAATTCCTTATGCTGCCAAAGATGGTTTTTATTATTAGATACCTGGCATTATTTACCAGCGGAAATATTTAAAAAGAAAAATAATAATAATAATGGTTTTTCCATATGTAGACAAAAAACTATCTATTAAATTGACTTCAGAAATTTTGGTAGCACTGTTATTTGATTTTTTTGTGTCAGCTGGAAGTTTTAAAGCAGACATTTAAAACTTATTACTCAAACTTTGACGTTTTTGTGCCGACTGAGACTTATTTTTAATGCTCTTGTCATGCACATCTTTAGACTGACTTTGTAAAGAGTTAACAAATGTAATTAAAGCAACAACTTTCCTTATATTATTTTCTAAAAATGTTTATTATTTAACCGGTTTTTACTAAGGTGCCTGACAATGTTTGTATTTTTTAAAGCACATAATAACTTAAGTTATAACTTGAAAACTAGAAAAGACAAAGGGAAAAAATAAATAAATAAAATGTAACAATTTGCGTCTGCAAAATAAACAAACAAAAACATTTAATTTTGACATCACACGAGCTCAGTGAAATTTACCCTGTTATAATTTACAAATAAAACTTTCACTAGTGAATAATAATATTTTATCACTTTGACAGTGCGCTGTTTTTCTCTTCCTATTTGCCCCTGTTGTTGCCTTTTCTCCCCTTTCCCATCCCTAACTGATCGATAGAATCAATTATTACCACGAGACCTGGCGTTACACAGATCACAATGTGAATAATCAATAACTAAATAAGTATGGCTAGATGAGACCTGAATGGGAAGAAAATGAACAAAATATACCTGATGATAATAATGGTAGAAATGAGCACAGATGTAACCACCATATTGACTCAACACATTTAGCTGGTTATCAGACAAGCTGAATGAATGACGCACTCATTAACCTGCAAGACTGATTCTGCGCAACATACATGTGGCTCATTATGAAGTTAAAAATGATTTCAGCATTTGATCTGTTCACCAATATGAGAAAATGTGATCAATATGATGCTGGGTGATC